AAATGAAAATGGAGTGAACATGTGCATACAAGAATTTACAATTTCGAGGAGATATGAAATGAAGCTGTCATTTAAACTAGACTTTTTTTTAAATATACAGGGACTCTATAACTTTCAGGTCAGGAACACCGGTTGTGGAGGCTAAAACTCAAAAATCACTATCGGACACTGGGACGTTGCACTGCTCGGCTTGAACGCGTATACTGCTGAATGAGAGAGATGCCCAAGCAGGTTTCCTGTTCTAAAACTCTTTCCTTTGTGCTCCACTAGCCTAGTATAAAAATTGCGAGATATCATACCGAGATACATAGACATACACTGCGCAAAAGTATGTTTATAAACTAGGGGCTATCTCATCGGAACAGGGAGTGTATCTTTATACATAAAAAGAACAGATTTAAAAAGTACATTAAAAATACATAAAAAGAACAGAACACTGCAGTGAGTGACAGAGAACGCATTTTCTCGTCGACGAAAACGTGAAGTCACGGACAGACTGACGGACGGACATACGGACATGGCGAGCACAATAGTGCATTTTTTCCATAAATGAGAAAATGCGCTAAAAAGTACTGATTTTACAGTTATTTATCAGCAATATATTAAGATTTAAATTCGGGAGGTATTTAGCGAACTAAACTTTCACCTCCTTTGCCATAGTCTCCGAAGCGGAACCTTATGTAGTAAGGAAATGAACAATAAACAGCATTCCTATCGTCCTGTTCGGGAACAATCTCAGAATATTGCCTAGACAACAAATTTCGTAATTTGAGTATATACCGAGTGCGACGGAAACCTTTTTAGCGAAAAGGTACTGCATAAAAATTCAAATTTAGAGTGCATAGCATGGAAAGTAGAGTAAATACGAAAACCGCCGTTTATTAACGTTTGAATCCCATTTAATTTGAAACGAAAAGAATTTACATGCTTAGACACCATTGTAAGATTGTTATNGTCAATGATTGGCTGATGAACTTACGATCTCATAACTTTTTTTGAAAGTATAGGCCCAGTACTTGTTCTAAGATATAGCCAGTCAAGTTAGAACACTTTTTGTCCGGAATCCTCGCGGGACTGATTGAGCTAATAGGCTGAAGTGTGCTGATCCCGGCAAGAGCAAGCGAAGTCCCTCTCTTCTCTATGATCTCAAATTAGTTTTGACAGGTCCAAGTTTTCTTGCATATTCTGAATAAATTTAAAGACTTAATTAACTATGACTGGCCTTTTATAACTATAACTGCTTAAAAGATTAAAGATTATGAAGCTTCCAAGCCTCAGTTATCGACGTCTGCGTGGGGACCTCATTGAGGTATACGAGTATACTCATGGTTTATACAAGGTTACCGAAGGATTACTAGAATTTGAAACAAGAACCAACACCAGGGGCCACTGCTATAGAACTAAAAAAACTACGCTGCAACTTGTCCACGCGACAACATTTTTTCTCGCTTCGTAACACCGACATGTGGAACAGCCTCCCTGAACGCGTTCAAGAACAGACTAGATAAAGCTATGGAAAATATATGTTCAGACTTGAAATGCCTAGCACTATATCGAACCCGGTGGAAGTCTAGTAGCTATTTCAAACTATCGTCAGTCTTGAAAAGATCCGGTCAAATGACACGATTTCAGATCTTCTGTGAACAAGTCACGAAAAGTTCAGGAGTAGGCGACAGGCCACATCAGGCCTACTCTTTAGCGCCGACATCACTATGTTATGTTATGTTTATGTTCATGTCGTTTCAAATTAAATGAGATTTAAACGTTAATAAACCGCGGTTTTCGTTTCTGATCTACACTGTTAGAAAAATTACCGTTAACGGTATTACCGGCGTTTCAGTGGCCGGTCGGCACATGAAAAGAAACACCGTGTCGCAGTTTTTATTTTAATTTAACACAATAAATCCGTAAAACATCTGATAAATACGGCGAAACAGTTTATTTTCACGGGGCGACCGGTCACTAGAACGCCAGTGGGACCGTTTTTTCTAACAGTGTACTTTCCATGCTATGCACTCAGAATTGGATTTTTTATGCAGTACCTTTTCGCCAAATGGGTTTCCGTTGCACTTTATCTTTCCTCATATTACGAAATTTTTTGTTTAAGCAATATTCTGAGGTGGTTCCCGAACGTGAAAATTAGAATGCTGTTTATTGTTCATTTCCTTACTATGGTTCCGCTTCGGGTACTAAGGCTAAGGAGGTGAAAGTTTAGTTCGGTAAAGACCTCTCGAATTTGAATCTTCATATATTGCTTATTAATAATTATTAGATAAACTATATTTAATATAGTTGTACGCAGTGCACATCTGCGTATGTTTGTATGATATAACTCAGTGGTTACAGTTCAGAGTACCAAGATTGGCGCAGAGAGGCGCGGGTTCGATCCCAGCTCTGTGTGCCAATTTCTGGTCAGAATCGGCAAGGAGGCCGGGCGGTTAAGCACAGTAAAATTTGAATCAGCGAGTTGTGAGCTCGAGACCGCGACAAGCTGTGGATGTTCTGCGATGTTAAGAATCGGCGACAGGTCTACGGCCTAATAAACGCTGAAACCGCTATCATAACGCAATTTCTATACTAGGCTAGCGGAGCACAGAAGGAGTTTTAGATCAGGAAACCTTATTGCGCATCTCTCATACAGCAGTACGCGTTTGTGCCGAGCAGTGCAACGTTCCGGTGTCCGATAGTGTTTTAGAGTTTTAGCCTCCACAACCGGTGTTTCTAACTTACGAATTTTAGAGTTCCTGCATATTTTTAAACAAAAGATTAGTTTAATTAGTTTAATTACCACCTACATTTCATATCACCTTGAAATTGCTAATAGTAGGGTTTGTCTGCTCATGTTTACTCAATTTTATTTGTTTTCAGTTGACGACTTATATTTTAATATCATCAATGTGAATTTTATTTTGCTAATTGTTTGTGCATGTGTTAAAGGTTTTGAACTGACGACGGAGCTGGACTCCGATACATTTCTCAAGCTTTCTTATCAGAAATCTTGAGAGAAAAAACTCAAAAGAAGTCCTCAATAAAACTGGCATTATTTTTAACCAAAATCATAAGAAATGGTGAACTTTTGGCCGTTTTTTGCTTTCAAATTCTTGATAATATTTTTTTAATAATTTAACATTTTGGAAGCAGTTAAAACTTACACTGAAAATCGGTGAGTAACTGTCGGCCAAGAACTGTAATATTTTTTTGGGCATCGGATGATGGCGCTTAAAATGGAATAAAGAAGTTGCAAGTTTTCGTCCTTCGTCATCCTGTTAAAAAAAACTTCGATTATATTTTATGTTCATGTGTTCATGTTATCTTAGATGTATTTTTCATAACATGATTTTTATCACTCAATCCTGAGCCCTGTGCACTCGGATCACGTGTCGACAGTTCCTTCTTCAGTTACAAAGTTACTTAGTTACGAACGCGCAACGAGCTTCAGCTTTTATGATTATTTGTAATTATCAACCTTTAGAAAGGTATTTAATACGAAAGCACACAAACTAAAACTCTATAACTTAAGTTGAACTAATAAAACAGGCTTTGCATTTAAGTTCATTTTAGTTTCTACTTATATGAATTACGGACACATTTTTCTACAGAGATTTGCATTCACCACTAGAAGCTAGTTGACTAGATGATGTATGTTAATTAACTTATTAAAGATTTCTTGAAAATTTTATCTGATATTGAGCTTTTCACTTGGAATAACACGAGTAAAAAATGTAAGATCTGGATAGAATATTGTGTGAAAGGAATGACAAGAGATAAATGATAACAGTCTTGAATTAAAAGGCGGACATTCTCCAGTTCTCTTTCAAACGGGCTTGTGGAGGTACTCTACAATTTTCTGTTGTATCCTGTTTTAATCAGTTTAATTTTGATACACATTGCTATGTTTGTTACTAGTGACATGTTAATATTATTTTTATGAGAGGCTTTCAATTGAATGTGACTAGTTTAATAATTTTTTGTTTTCTCACCATTATTCTATTATCATATAATAGAGCCTATAATACCACCTTTGTCACCTGCCAAGATACTCAGTTTATTTGAGCATTCACTAGGATGCTTGTTTTAATTTAAAATTTGCGTTATTTGTTTTGTACTCCTATAAATATGAATAACAGATGTCGCATGTCTTCCTCGAACACCATCACACAACACAATAATTTCGCGAACCAATAAAAAATATGTATCCACTACGCTAATTGGGCATCAGTCCATTATTGGCCATTACATGTCATTAATTAACCAATTAAATGGTTTTTTGAACAAAAAATGTGGAGACTCACCTCAGATCCGAAGAACTTTGTATAATTTTTTTCGAAGGGTCGCAGAGCTATGATGTCGTAGTCGACGTACATTCCTCCTGAGTTATACACGACTGCGTATCTTAGCAAGTCGCTCAAGTGCGATTGCAGGTATACTGTAAAAAAACTCTCATTGTCAAGCGATGCGCGCAATAATAGCGAATAAATGTGCGATAAATTTAGCAGGGACTGTTCCATAAAAAAATCATTCGTTACTTTCTTAGTTAATCACTGACGGTGTTTTAAGTTAAGCCTAACAATTAGAGACGAGAAATGGGCCGCTACTTTACAAAAGCCGCTACGTGTACAATAGCCGCTGCGTGTACTTGGACCGTTACGAGTACTTAACCCTCTACCGCAGTACGTCACTCTCCGGAAACATGACTTTCAACTTAAATTATAAGTAAACTATTAAGTGTAGCAACCTGAGGACGTTTGTACGCAACAGAGAACATTTTAAAGTTGTCGTACGTGGCGGCAAATTATACGTAAACTAGTGAGTGTAGCAACCTGAGGACGTTTGTACGCAACAGAGAACATTTTAAAGTTGTCGTACGTGGCAGCAACCATCTGTGCAAGTCATTTTGTGCTCAGTGGAACGTATCTTTTTTGGGAAGTAGGCTTGTGACAATATTGCTCCGGTAACTCAAGTCAGGCGTGAGAAGGTTAAGTGAGTTTTGAATGTACCACTCACAAGACCAACCACTTACATGTATTCCAGAAAGAGTCAGACTCGAGTAGCGTATGCGCAGGAGTGTTGCGCGTGACCACGCGCACGTTCATGTGCGCCACGCAAAGACGCGGGCAAATTTCCTGCAAATTCCGCAAACTTGCGGCGGTCGAAGCGTGCAATTTCTCGCGCGTCACCAGCAACCAGACGTGAGCGTCGCCGTTCACGGTGCACATGCTGAGCCATCAAAATTAGTTTGCTTCAAATCTCAGAGTTTAACTTGTATTGGAAATATAAAATTAATATATACACAACAAAATGAACAAAGCTCGCACAGGCAGATATTTGATAAAATTAATAAAAAGGTTACTTGCCTTTCAACTGAGCACAATGTTTTACTCGTGAGATTCGACGTGAGGCTTAAATCCATCATGTAGATGTTCTGCGCATCAGGGTCCGGAGCGACATCACTGATAGCAGATAACACATATTATGAATTATTTATATTGCTGTAAATAAAGCTAATTGAGCCTGATGTTTTAGCTTAATGACTTTGTTAACAATTTCCCTTACTTCTATTAAACTAAGATAAATATGAATTTAATCAGAGAATCACATGAAGTGTTGCTAGCATTTTATTTGTGCATGAATTCACGTGGAAAAGTATCCACATCTCGTGGAAAAAATTCTCTTATTCCACAATGCTGTTGACTTGGAGTATGAAAGATGTGTTGAAGATATGATTCCCGGATCCTTGACTCCAGGAAAGGAGATATGTAGATATACATTTTGCCTTGGGGCATAGGAGATATGTTGAAGATATATTATAATGTAACAATAGATGATAAGTTTTACAGTTTTACTCACATGTACAAACGCGGAAGACTTTTTAGTGCCGGATCATTGACTCCAGGAAAGCAGCCAACGGCGGGGGGCGCGGAGAGCGGTCCGGGATCTTGCTTCTCACCGTAACCGTAGGCTTCTCTTCGCCTCTTGATTTCTTCAGCTGGAACTCGAATTTCTGCGCATTAAATAGCTTAAACTTCTTGCAAATAAAATTAATAGTTTGTTGTAATATTACTGCAATAAATTGTACCTAGATTCATTACCTAGATTGAGTTTTTCACAAATCATAGTAATAGTTTGTAATATTTCTGCAATAAATTGTGCTCCAAGTCATTAAATAGCTTAATTTTTGGGAAACCATAAAAATAGTTTGTAATTTTACTGCAATAAGTTGTATTTTGAGTCATTTATACATGCATTGATTTTGATTCAATTTACACAAGTTCGGCATTGATAATATTTATACTGTCTGTTTAAAATTTTCTTTCGTTAATTGAGTTCCAACAACGTTTTTTGCATAAACACTAAAATTTTGAATGACATTTTTCGGGCAAATTTGTGGAACAATTAGCAGGATTTGTTCATGCCCTATAGAATCTGTTATATCTTTCACTAGTTATATTACGTCATTAGGATCATGACAATTTTCCATGTTATATGTAATGGACTATGTAAATCACCTAGTATAAATGCGAACATAACTGCCACTGCGATGCCGAGCATGATCACGAGTATCCACCCTGAAAAATCTGTTGAACATGATCAATCCAATCAATATAATGCGATAAACAAAATCAATATAATGCTATATAAACAATCAATATAATGCGATAAACACAATCAATATAATACGATAAACACAATCAATATAATGCGATACATACAATCAATGTACTCAACATAGAAATTAAATACATAAAATTTGTTAGAAATATTAGTATAAATTGCAATGAAATATTAGCAATCTTAGTAAAATTTAAATAAAATTTTAGTAAGCATTTCGAAAATTGCATCAGTTGGAATTCCTTCGGCAGAAAAAATAACCATATCCACTTTGTTATAAAGGTAAAATAAAACCAGGATGAAGTCTTACTTTTCAAAGAATCTTGAGTGCAAAAAGTGAACGTGGTAGTTCAAGCTGCGCAATTGAAATAAACGGTTTTGAGCTCATGGGAAAAAGACGCTGCGCTGATGGGAAAAATTCACTTTATTTGTTCCTGTTTATCATGACCAGGACTCAATATTCCTTCATCTGGGACTGAAGCCAGAGCCGAACATTAGTGATGCACTGATGCTGCTCCATGAAATCTTCCGATTTCCTAATGTTATTCTCTCATCATTCAGGATTATTTACTAAAAAGCTGTCACAATAAATGGATACTGAAAAAGTTTTTATTCTTATCCCAATCAGAAGTTAGATCTGCATCAGCTTCTGACTACTCGAATCAGAAGCTGCCACGCCTCTGAATTTCGTCAGAGTATGAGGAAATACGAAATTTTGTATCATTAATTTTTAGCTCGCATGAGGATAGCTAGGAATACTTGTCTGATTTAACATGGAAGATTGTTTCGGCATGTCGAACTATTGGTAAATTATTACCGAAATTGTTTCGTTACCATTAATGTTCGTTGTATTGGTTCAGGAATAAGGAAAATTTATTTATGTGAACGAATATCTATTGTTGCTATTTCAATTGCAAAGAATCAATCAGCCTGAAGTTTATACTGTGTTTTTCTATTAGATGGATGAAAAAGTATCCATCTGCTGAAGCAATTTAGGTTCAAAGCTAACTGGTCTGTAGTTTGCAATGGATTTGGCACCAGAAGGGGTCATTTGTCTCTAGCGCCTGAAATTCAATCAATGAGGCATGCCAATGTTTTACATCAAAGACTTGTGCAAAAAAGTCGGCGCAAAGTGGTTAATTCATTTTCAATTTCAATCAATATTTACTATTTTCTTAGAGAAGAGTCGTCATCCTTTCTGCACTAGTGTTAGCAACCACCCAACAAGTAACAAAATTAAATAAAAATATCTAAGTTAATGAAGCTATCATTTAAGTTTGTTAGGTCGATCTAAATAAAATGTAAGAGAACATGATGTGAAGTTGGAAAGTCTATAGTTCGTGTCGGCTCAAAAGTATTATCACGAAAATTTGATAAGTCTATTACAATGCAAATATTTGGAAATATTGAATTTATTTACTTTAATTTGATAATATTTAACGTAAAACTAAACAATACTTAACTCACAAGAATTTGATAAAGAACCGATATAAATGAGTTGTATATAATGGGTAGTGGGTCATTGACCCATATTGCCATAATGTTGCAATAAAATAAAATAATATAATAATATTGTTATTATTAATAAAATTGCAATAAAATGTCTAGTAAAAAGTGCAATAAAATGTTATTTAGCAAGTCGAAAATTTATTATAGAATTTATTCATACAAGGCTCTTGGACCCTCGATGATGAAATATGTAAATTCAGACTAAAATGAAATAATGTGAGTTTCACGTACTCATCGTCCACTTGCTCTCAAAGGCTCTCAAATGAAGTTATTGGTCTGTCGTAAACATTTACTGCATCGTAAATATTGTAGTCAGATTTGTCGTGAATGGCCACTACTTCACGTTCTCACGATCATTAAATTGTCATTTGGAGGGATTTGCTTCTGTGACTAAGCAATTTTTTCCGTAAATGAACTCAATGGTTAATACTATTACTTTCATATACGTACGGTTACTAGCATTTACTCCATGGTGAACAATCTTGCTTGCATGAATACCATGGTGATTGGTGTTATGCGCATAACTCAATGGTGTATAATATAATAACCAAAACACAATGGTGTCTTAATGAATTTCACTAGGTCAGTGGTGAATGATATTACTTGCATTAATACACGAATCACTGTACCAAAGTACAGTAATTACTGTACCAAAGATAAATCACTGTGCCAAAGTACAGTAATTACTGTACCAAAGATAAATCACTGTACCAAAGTACAGTAAATTCTGTACCAAAGATGAATTACTGTACCAAAGCAAGTTTAATTGCAGAATTATTACCTAATTTAGTGCTGGAGCCCATTTTTCTTCCACCGTCACGCTTAGCCATCGAGTTGCTACTGACGCGAAACCTCGTACGGGAGGCTGTCCCCGACACGACGTAAATAAGAAAGCCAACCAATTCTCCGTCATCTTTGTGGCCAGAGAATCCAACTTCAACAAGTAGTTTTGGACATTTTACATTGTCGAGCAATCCCTGTCAGGTTCATACGAAAATGTTGGTAGTAACGTATTTGCAACGGAACTGTAACACTTGTGTTTGTAGCATTAAAACCAATAATAAATGTTTTCATATATTTAGGGGATAAGTGTCCAGATATTATGTTGACAAATGGACATTATCAGACACATGACAAGCTCAAATAAAGTAAAACTTTACAAAAACATCGAACAAAAATAAGTATAGCATTATGAATAAATATTGATTCATAAATAAATTATGAATAAATTTTTCATGCTTCTGCATGACCTAGCGATCGAAATGTTTGCGAGGGTCGGACATAGACGCCTCAACAAGAGGCGGGTGCCTTGGGCAGCAGCGATACCCAAGCTTTCCATAATCAATCAATTTGAGTTATTATGCCGTAGCTACCTAAATGCGTTAGGCAACCTTTGCCCGGACTAAGTTATATCAATATTTTCCATTAGCCCCATGCACATTAATGCGCTTCGGATATATATATAACATAGCATTCAGCATCGATACTAGTCATTAAAGGAAATGATGGACAAAAGTTGCATCTGACCCATAGCTACTGAATACTCCTGTCATGTGTAGAAACTCGGCAGGCAATTGTATCCCTAACTGAACTATTTTCACTGTTGTCGTCAGAAACATTATTGTGTATCTCAGTTCGGTATTAGGACTACGCGGATGAAACATAAGGCTGTGAATTTGTCTATGTATTTAGCGCAAACTCAATCTGCAATTATAATAAAGATATGAGCCAGGATCTTTCTCATAATAGTTTTGAAATTAAAATAGTAATACGAGAGCTCCCATCTGTTCACAGAAAATAACATATTAAATAAAAATTGATAAGAATGTTATAAAAAATCTAAGCTGCGTGCGCACAAGCAGATTTTTTTTTTAATTTATCTGATGATTAACCGGTATGGTGTCATAACGAGAACACATGCTTTTAAATCCAATATACCAGAGCAATAGTTTAACTCGCGCTAATTATTAGTTCCTGTTCGTTAATAAGGTCTAGTGGGAACATTGACTCAAATATTGCTGCAACATGAGATAGGGCGCGAGAGCGGGTGACATAAATTTAAATTTATAATAGAAATTCTGCAAAAGCCATCAAATTTTGTGTAAACCCCATCAAAACTTTAAAAAAAATCACAAAAAAATTGGCAAATATAAATTCTTTGATGGCATATCCATCCAAATTTATGCCTTGAATTAAAAATTGATTATTTATTGACAAATTGTAACACCGATGATGCCCATTGAAGTCACGCTAGAATGTTATTGATGCGAAAAATGTTACCTATGATTATATAAATAGATAAATCTTTTTGGAAACTATTCCATGTAGTGGTCTACGAAATAATCCTGCAACGCGCGTATACGTAGGCTTCCGGTAGATGAACGCTCTCGTTTTTTTCTTGCGTTTCAGCGGAGGTAATTAATGACGCTGTCTAGTTTTGTAGATTATACTAAAAAATTTGAAACTTCAAAGTCTCTGTAATATTAGATTTGTTTAGTTGCTATAATATTTACAACAGTTGATTGATATTTTACCATGAAAATTGCCACGTACAACAATTCCTAATGTCCAAGAAAATTTTAAAATTTGAATTTTCCTGTGTGTATGTATTAATGATAGCATTTTATAGATCACCAGTTATTTCATGTCATGTATTTTTCGTGTATTTAGGAATACCTAGCATAAATGCGAACACGACTGCCAAGGCGATGCCGGATGCGACCAAAGATAGCCACCATGATATTTCTGTTGATACACGTGAACAAATGCAAAAATGCAGCATTATTCAGTATTCTTCAAGATATGCACAACAATCACAGACGAGAAACCGGCCGCTACGTTTACTTATCCCGCTACGTGTAACCCCGCTTCGTATGGGAAAAATGAAGAAAAAATGCGCTTATGTAAATTAATCGTAAATCGATTAAACTATAAAATGTCAAAAAATGCTGATTTTTTACTTCCCCCCGTTTTTCGGGTAGCATTGTTTTTACGAGAAAAATTTGTTAGTAAGTGTCAGGTTTATATTAATCTGTTAAAATAGATTGCTAATTTAACCTTCAAATAAAAGCATAGGTTCGAATAAATTGTACAATCACTTTTAAAATTTGGATATTCAGTTTATAGATTTGATGGAATAGACAACTTAGCTAACCCAGACACAAAAATCACATCAAAACGGAAGAAATACATTATGTTGAACTCCAAAATATGGATTATTCTCATGGTGCACTGCAGTCCAGTCGACTTATATTGCTCTATTTCAAAAGATGGCTTTATAGGAACGTATAGGAAAAATAACAGTTATTGCCTTTCAGTTTATATTTATCCTGTTCAGTATCCATATCGGGTCCGGGTTATATTGAAGCTGGACCGTTCTGCGAGGTTTCACTGACTCTAATTTGTCTGTTTACTTGTGTTGCTTCTTACACGCTTCTAGACTACAATCTGAAATTAAGGATCGAAGGTTATCGCTGCGAGATTTATTGAAAACGTACAATGTTATATAGCATCGCTTAATCCGTATGATATTGTGCTGAATAACTAAAAAAGAACAGTATAACTAAAAGAACTACAGTATTTCAGCAGACGATACATTTATTTCAATAAATGGTCCTTTACATAATCTTTTTTTTTTCCTGCTCATTCTGAGTATGTAAAATTCAGCAACTATTGTTTGGAAAATCTGGCTTTTTGCTTTATCTTGTATTTACAAAAAGTATTGCTACCAGAAACCTAATATATCTCAACTCAGTTAGTGTTCTTAAACTCGTAGGTAGATATTAATTACGCCCCGAGCACTGGCTTGCAGTATCCGAACACAATATTGCGATCACAAAACGTTAATGACTAACAAGAGCAACATAGGTTTCATTAAAATACTGAACTTACCACAAGATGAAGTTATAAAAACATTGCCTAAGTTCAAATTAGAATACAAAGTTTTCCGTGTTAGTGAATACATCTCAGAAACATCCAGAGTTAATAGAGCGGTACGCATGTTATAGGCTATTGTATAGCCCAACTTCACACTCCTGTTTACATTCCAATCCGTGGGTAAGCAGGCTAGAGATCAGAGTAGGGCTTAGTTTAGGGCTTAAAGTGTGCGAAGTTTAGGGCTTAAATCCATTGCACATTGGTCCACAGCCGTAGCTATACATAATATAATTTGGAATACTTTGGCCTAGGTAACCTTCTCAAATGGCCCCCCTAATCTCGGTTTAAAACAAGCCAGAATGAACCTATCCAACGTTACTGACTGCAAGTCGGTGGAGAGTCCGGGCAATGTGAGTAGGTTAAGCCCGAATTGGTTAGGCCAGATATTCTTATAACCATATTAACCTTTATCTTGTTTAAGGGGTGGCTGAGGACTTACGGTGGCTATGGTTGTGGCAGTGCGATACTGATTTAACTTTAAGACGTTCCAGCGTATTCTGAGGCTTTCATCTGTGAGGCTGAATGCAGGTATTACATGCTGAAGCTGGACGTTGATTCACGGGCTAATTTAAGAGTAAAAATTGTGGCCCACGAGCACACCTTTAGTGTTTTTTTGTGACTTTCGTCTATAGAAGCTTCAAGCAGAGATTTGGCCTCGTGTCGAGTTTTATATGGTATGATTGACTGCAGACACGCAAGCCCTACACTTTTCCAAGAAATTGCATGCAGTGTTAGAGGGAACATTTCCCAGTCTGGCAAAAAAAGATACAAATTATTAGAGTGCAAGCACGATCATAGTGCAGAAAAAATACGACCGCACGAGCAAGAAAATTACTGTATGCAATCAACTCGTCAAACATGGATGCAAAACATATGTAAGCAAGAAAAATTTGCTCGGCCAGAATTTTGTCTCACTCCGAAGGCGAAAAAAAAACATTTCAGAAGGCTCAGCTGCGTGGCTAACCTTGCACGTTTGAATCAATCTCGGGTGTTAAATAATTTCAAAATTAGAAGAAACTTGGTATTAAATAACCTAGGTGCAACAACTGTAAAAATGCAGCAGAAATAAAACAGATTTAACAATTTTCTGAATCTTTTCTAGCATTTTTCAATACGTTGATCAATTTTTCCATTTAATTTTATAGCATGCATCGATCGTCACAGCTTTGGAGTACTTCTAGCACTGAACACCAATAATGACTTACAGCGCTAAACATCACTATTTGACTTACAGCGCTAAACACCAATAATTGATTTACAGCACTAAACACCAATAATGACTTACAGCGCTAAACACCACTATTTGACTTACAGCGCTAAACACCAATAATTGATTTACAGCACTGAACACCAATAATGACTTACAGCGCTAAACATCACTATTTGGCTTACGGCGCTAAATACCAATAATTGATTTACAGCGCTAAACACCGATAATTGACTTACAGCGCTAAACACCAATAATTGACTTACAGCACTGAACACTAATAATTGATTTACAGCGCTTAACACCAATAATTGACTTACAGCACTAAACACTAATAATTGATTTACAGCACTAAACACCAATAATTGACTTATAACACTAAACACCAATAATTGACTTACAGCAATAAACACCAATAATTTCACTAAACACCAATAATTGACTTACAGCACTAAACACCAATAATTGACTTACAGCACTAAACACCAATTATTGACTTAAAACACTAAACACCAATAATTGACTTACACCACTAAACACCAATAATTGACTTACAGCACTAAACACCGATAATTGACTTACAGCACTAAACACCAATAATTGACTTACAGCACTAAACACCAATAATTGACTTAAAACACTAAACACCAATAATTGACTTACACCACTAAACACCAATAATTGACTTACAGCGCTAAACACCGATAATTGACTTACAGCACTAAACACCCATAATTGATTTACAACGCTAAACACCAATAATTGACTCACAGCACTAAACACCAATATTATCGACTTACAGCACAGAATGCCAATAATTGACCTCCAACACTTAACACCCATAATTGACTTACAGCACTTAACACCAATAATTGACTCACAGCGAAAAAAATAGCAAATAAGTTTTTGCGACGACTGTTGCTATTTGTTCAAGAATCTTTCCATTCTTCTAGTAAATTTTGCAGCAATAACATTTTGATATTGAGTTAAAACAACACTAATTTTGTTTGTTTATTAATTACATTAAAATGAAAATAAATTTTTTGGAAGTCCAAAATACTAAAAGAAAAGTCACGGAGACATTATACACCGAATAATGTCTCCAAGACTTTTTTTACACCGAATTTGTGCAGCAAATTTTTGGTAGAGAAGCAAAGCCCTGAGAAGAATTTGATTGGGTTGATTTTAAAGCATTTTTGAAGATGATAAGATGATGGACAAAATGTGAGCTGGTGATATCCAACATGGAGGGCTAACCGACGTTTGTTTTCCCTCAGCCTTCACCAAGGGAGGACGGTGGACGTCGAGCTCACAGATCTGCATGGGCGTCTTTGGGAGATTTTAGTTCTTCTCTGAGCATTTTTTTCTTTAAACTTAAAATAGAGGACAAAGCATCCGTTTGTTCACTTATTTTGTTCACCAAACAAACATACGTTTGTTCACCAACGAATATAAAGGACGAACTAAAAGTTGAACTATCAGGTTTTGGTGTAGTGATGGCATTCAAGAACGAAACTGACGTTTTGGCTTATATATGTAGATTAATTTTGAATTAAATGTTATGGTCATTTTCCGCGAAGCCTAATAGCAAACTTTTATACCGCTTTGCTATAAAGTTTCATGAGTCGCGTAGAGGTTACTGAAGAAGCAACGAATATAATTTTGAAAGTTGAAAGTTACCGCCTTTTAAGTTAATATCAGCAACTCGTGTCGAGATGCATTTTAATTAGTATTTTTTACAGCAAGACATGAAATTCGCATACAAAGAAAAATTGGTCGTTTTGCGTATTTAAATTACTAGTCCTTATCCAGAATTGATAAATCAGTAAAAATTTCGGCACGAAATCAATGAGTTGAATCTGATCTGCTTTAGTTATGAAGGTGAGTGTGTTTATCAGTTTTTTGGATAATTCTAAAAGAAAATTTTCTGTATTGTTATAGTTCATATGTTTACAGCTATTTGCGTATTAAAATACATGGCTAGAGATCTAAGAATAATATTTTCAACCTCCGGCCATGGGCCACATCTAGACCGCGATGTTCGCTCACTCTAATAGAATAGAATAGGAATGTCGGCACTGAGGAAATAGGCCCATGTCCTGTATCCGATTCTTGTACTTTTCGTCACTTGATTCCACAAGGGATCCGGCCTTATGAACCCGATCTTTCCATAACTGACGAATTGATTGAGATTGCTGCTGGACTTATTGCAAGGCTCGTCAGGTGCTAGGCATTTCAAGACTGAACATATGCTCCTGGCCTCCTTCATAGCTTCGTCTAGTCTGTTCTAGAAGGCGTTCATACTCGGAGCGTCAACGATACCTTCAGGGAGGCTGTTCCACATGTCAGTGACTTGAAGCGAAAAGAAATGTTGTCGTATGGATGTGTTACAACGCAGTTTTTTATTTTATAGCCGTGGCCCCTGGTCTTGGTTCTTGTTTCAAAATCCAGTAATCCTTCTGAGACCTAAATGGTATATCACATGGCATTTCACAACCTTGCACGATTTTACCTGCAGTTTCGTTAGGTTTTCTAAGTACGTACCATAACCAAATCCTAATATTCACACTACACATCACAATATTCACTATGCCTTAGGAATGAATTTAATTGCGAAAATCGGGTCATCGATCTCCAAGCGTTGACTTCGTACAGAGAGGACTAAATTGTGAATTATGATTAGCAACCGACGTTTAAAATAATGAGATATCATTATAACCGAGCATGAGGTCACGATCGAATGTCGGTAATGTGTGTTTTCAATAGTTAGTGAGCTATTATTTCTTATTTTATTTTTAGTGAAAATTGGGATAAAGTCATTGTTTAAAGTCATTAGTTTTAAATTTTTGTGTTTCAAGTCTTTCGATCATGAGTCGTGTCTATTATAAGAGAAAACCCGCATAATTATGTTCATCATACAAATCTGTCAACGTGTACAATTGTGCATTGTGCTTGGTCTATTCAAAAATAGTTGAATACATTTTCCTGTCACAGGTCAACTTGATACTCACAGCCATCGTGATGATGGCTATACAAATCCAAGGCTATGTTCAAGACGTAAATCTGCCGCCGTCAGAGGAGTCTTACAAAATATTGTTCATGGTGCCTGGGATCTACCCCAGTCATGTGAAAATAATCCTTACAGTTGCCACGGCCCTCGCTGACCGAGGACATCAGGTGAGAGCAGCTCAGGGGCTGTACTATCAATAATCGCAAATGTACGTAGTGGTCTAAGTACAAGTAGCTGCCTATAAGTACTTTATTTGTTGTAGGGGCTTAAGCACAAATAAAGGTCTTCGTACACGTAGCGGTCAAAGAACACGTAGCGAAAGAAGTGCACAAACGGGCTTAGTGCACGTAGCGTCCCAAGCACACATGTAGCGGCCCATGTGCACATAGTAGCTTAATTACGAGAACAGTTTTAACGTCCTTACCAATCCGGTAGTTTGTAAATTTATAGCTGGATAAATTTATATAGATAGCAGTGCGATAGCTTTTTAGCGATAGCTGAAGCTCTGGCTATAAATTTACGAACTACCGTATTTATAAGGGCGTTAAAACTGTTCTCTTAATTCAAGCTTTGATTTTCAATCTGTAGTAGCTTAAGTACACATAGAGGCCTATCTTCACGTATCGGCCTTATAGTAGCTGTAGCGTCGAAGTATATGTGATGGCATAGGTGCACGAACGGGCTAAGTAAACTTAACGGTCTAAATACACGTAGTAGTCTAAGTACATGTAGTAGCCGCAGTGCACGTAACGGCCTATATTTATCGTCATTGATTGGTGTGCTAAGCTTGAACAGCGGTCAGTGATTGGCTGACGAAGTTTTTAATTCGTAAGTATTTTTAATTTTTGTTTGGCCCCAGGGTTCCACTTTCAATTCATGCACGTTTCGATGACCAATTTGTCTGTTCATGTAGTGTGATGTATTCATTCCATGTAATGTGCCGCATTTATGTGTCATTCACCCCTAATGTTCAAATGCGACAATTCTGTCCAATGTTTCAACTCAATACTTTATGTTCTAGTAGCTTGGGCTTATAACATAACATAACATAGTGATCTCGGCTCTGAAGTGTAGGCCTGATGTGGCCTGTCGCCGATTCTTTTCCATTTCGTGCCTTGTTCATAGATCTAAACTCGTGTCATTTGACCGGATCTTTTCATGACTGGCGATAGTTTGAAGAAGCCACTAGACTTCCACCGGGTTCGATAAGGAGCTAGGCATTTCAAATCTGAACATATATTTTTCCATAGCTTTATCTAGTCTGTTCTTGAACGCGTTCATACTTGGAGCGCCAACGATGTCATCGGGAAGGCTGTTCCACATGTCGGTGATTCGAAGCGAGAAGAAATTTTGTCGCGTGGAGAAGTTGCAGCGCAATTTTTTTAGCTTATAGCCGTGGCCCCTGGTGTTGGTTCTTGTTTCAAATTCTAGTAACCCTTCAGGGACCTTGTAACATAACATAGTGATCTCGGCTCTTATGATAGGAGTTATTTACCAGTATGCTTAAATTATCAAATTGTGAGCATCTCACCCGATTTCCTTCGAATTCATTTTTTTATTGTAAAAAAGGAAAAATTAAAATGCGATATCGGACATCGCTATTATTGTGGTATAAATTAATTATTGCATCCTGGTAAGGAATATATTATAAAAATTATATATGTAGATATTATAAATTAATATTATATATAATACATTTATTTATTATAATTATATATATATACCTTGGTAATACCGCGGCAATTATTAGTTGACGTTTTTCAATGAGTTATTTAGGTAAAAGAACCTTTCCTGGCTGGACCTAACCTTAGTAAAATTGTAAAAAGTGTCTGAAAAAACATTTTTCACACCTCTAACCAGAATTTTAACCCTAACCTATAACGAGATTTTCGTTAATTAGCATGTCGCATAATAGCGTTCATCTTTTTTTGTCTCGCACTATTAGCAAATACTAATCATAGGTAGATTCTGCGACATTGGCACACTCCGAGACAGTAATTGTGCGACATTTTGTTGCACAATATGCCAAAAATGTCGCGCTATTGTCGACATTATATAATATATAAGAATTTAGAACAATTACCGGACAGAATTGGTAACATTACCGGACAAGGGGTACAAAACAGGACAAAATCGAGTCCGGTAATTAACTCTGCTATTAGTTTGTACTTAAAAACCGGACACAAAAATAAATGAACTACACTTCCGGACATTCTAAAAAACGCCAACCTCGTTAGGTTAGGGTTAGAGTTAGGGTTAGGTGTGTATAAAACCCTTATTTACGTTGCTTGACACCTTTCTACTAAGGTTAGGTCCAGCCCGGTTAAGTTCTTTTTACTTTTTTTAACAATTTTGCTTACGTCACTGGGCCAAAAATAAGCATAGTCCGGTAAATTGTTACTATATATTATATAGTAACAGTAATTGCACTTTACCGAACTATGCTTATTTATAAAAATTTTGCTTATATATATATAAGTTCACTTATCCGGACTTTAATTTTTATCGCGTCCGGTTATTAAGTACGAACTAATTGCAGTGTACGCAACCGGACGCGACTTTGTCCGGGTTTCCAACCCATGCCCGGTAATGTTACCAATTCTGTACGGTTATTGCTGGATATATATATATATATATACACATATATCAATTATATATCTTCCATCAATTTCACCTTCTAAAAGGCCGTTTAAATATTGTTTGATCTTAGAATATAGGTCCTGTGAATCAATTTGTTCGCGCGACTTTCATTTATGCCGGGTTTTTCCGTGTACCAATGAAAATGTTTGGTGAGAAGTAAAAAGTACGTTGACTATAAAGAGGTCGTAAACTGAATCATATTATTGATTCATCCTTACTCCAGTAAGACGTAAGCTAGATTCATCCGCCTTTCAAGCACGTTAAAGATCTTTTGTTGATCGCTGGATGTGAAATTCGAATTTCATCGTTAATTCGAGCGCAAAACGTTAAAAAATTCCTCTTTCACTTTTATTATCTAATATTTGTTTTAATTTTTGATTTCATAGATAATGTACCAATTACCGTTTTTCCATTACAGATCTCGGTTATCGGTGGCTCACTCGCCATTCAGCATCCCAACATCACATATTTATACAACCCCGATTTCAGTGAAGCCATTAAAAAGTATAAATATTTTGATGCCGTTGACGATGGCTGGAAGCACATAGAGCACACGAGGAATCTGATCGCTTCTGCTTTTGAATCTGCGTACGCATCCGAAGAGTTTATGGATGTTTACCGACGGCGTAAAGAATTTGACCTCATGGTGGTCGATCATTTGGCCTTAATAGTGGGTTAACATGAAAGTTATGTTTTGTATAACTCAATTTTTACATTTTAGTCTTACATTTATAGCTGCGTTGCATGTGAAATCACTCTCAGTTGAGGAATAGTTGAGATATTTAGATTGGGACCATTGAGTCGAATTGTAGCTGTTTGAGCTGTAGATGGAGGTTAATTGATGTCGTATGTCCAATTACGTGGGTGGCACTGTGTTACTGAATAGCGGACAATTGACTAGGTTCCAAAATTTATTTTTTTTTGGTACATGTGCGTGTGTGTATGTATGTGAACGGAAAGTCAAACGATATTGTTTAATGTCGTTAAATTTTAATTAATCTTGTTCAACCAATGATGGTTGTGCAGTTATTTTAACACCAGCATGAACAATAAATTGAACCACATAGTTCCGTTTTCCTTTCAAGTTGAAATTAGCGATCATTGTACTATATATTTGCAATTTTGAATCCCTACGTGGTTCATTCGTACAAATAAATTCACGCACTAAAATTATCAAATTCTTCGACAGAAGTAATTTGATATTTTTCAATATTACAAACAGAAGTTTTTATCTCCAGGGCTTGGCACCATTCCTGCATGAGAGCCCCTTCATAATCTACTGTACGACTATGTTGAATCCACTGCATAGCGCCAACATTGGCAACATTCACAGTCCCGCAGTTCTGTCGAGTTCCGTAACAGACTACAGGCAACCGTACTCAGCTTTGGACCGCTTGAGAAATCTTTTCACGACCCTGGCGTTCGCTGTTATTTGGAGTATTATCGTGAGGTCAAAAGTCGACTCTGAAGTGGTAAGTTGTTGTAAATGTGTTGTATTATGCGAAGTCATTTAAATCAAATTTCAAAACATCATTATTTGGCGCGCAGCCAAAACGATCATTTATGTACATATCTTGCATATGGTGGACCCTAACCCTAGGGAATGTGTATCCTGTGTCCTGTATACTTATCATTCCGATATATCAATATTAATGTCTGTCTTCCGTTGTGGTGCAGATTTCCAAGCGGTTTCCTCATGTGCCATCTTCGTACGAGCTGGAAAAGAATGCAAGTCTCACTCTAATAAATACTCACTTCTCGCTCGACGGGCCAATTCCTCTGCTGCCCAACCAAGTCATGGTCGCCGGCATGCTGCTGCGACCCGAGCGTCCTCTACCAGAGGTATTAACTACACATGCGATGCTTGGACGTTGTGCCACTATAGTGGCGGCCAGTAAAACTTCCAAATGCTAAAAACATTGTGTCACTATAATGGCGGCCAGTACAACTTCCAAATGCTTGGACATTGTATCACTATAGTAGCGGCCAGTAAAAATTTAAAATACTTAATGCCAGTAATTATCCTACTACTGGCCTCGTGTAAAGAGTTATTGGATCCTTTCCTAGTCATGCAGTAGTACCTATACACGAGGCAAAAGCATCGTAAATAGTGACAGAATTTGAATGTTTTACTGGGCTCTTCTACTGTCCCGGGCCTATACTTTCAAAAAAAGTTAAGAGATCGTAAGTTCATTAGCCAATCATTGACGGCATTTCAAGGAAAATCCACCAATCATAGACAAGAAAATAGAGCGTAAATACTTACGTTCACTTAGCAAGTTTTGAAAGTATGGCCCCATGTGTACAAGTACTTACGAGTACTCTTCCTTGACTTGTTCGATTTATTTATTAAATGAAAATCAAAGAGATTCAGCAGGCAAGCCGTGTTGTGTATATCACAAAAGTTTTCAATTAACGCTTTTTGTGCCTACGAGCTATATTTAGCGTGCTTTTTTATTATTAATACTCAGCTTAGTTCTGAACTTATGTCTTCCTGTCTCATAAAAATTAGCGATCAGAGTTATTATTTCATATATTAACGATCGGCTAGCTGGAAATTCTAATGAATAAAAGACTTTGTAAGCAATGTTTTCTGACGATACAAATTGTTTGCTATTGCATACAAATGTGAAATTATGAAAATTTGAAAACAAATTACCCATGTTTATAGCACAAATAACGCATTTACCAACTTCCATATTGAATTAAAGTATTGCCTTCCTTGACCAAGCAGTATTAGATTACTTAATCTATGAGAAGCATTTACCTTCATCGGAATAATGAAGAATTTGTCGTAGTTTGAGATAATTTTCTTATTAATAAAAGTGATCCTTTTCCATCAGAAAATCGAAAGCTTTGTTCGAGGCAACGCTTCAACGATCCTGTTTAGCACCGGCACTTTCATTCGTCTGAACACTATGCCGGAGAAATTAAAGGAGATGTTCTTCTCGGTCTTTTCAAAGTTGCCGTATAAAATCGTTATGAAGTATCACGCTGAACCAGAGGAATTTAAGAATGTAACAAATATTTACTTCTTGGACTGGATACCTCAGAGTGACCTATTAGGTAAGCTTATTCTACAGCCTTTTCATATGCCATTATAGAATAGAAGTGTCAGCACTGAAGAAATAGGCCAATGGCCTGTTGCCGATTCTTATACTTTTCGTGACTTCACAAGGGATCCGGCCTTTGGAACCCGATCTTTCCATAACTGACGATTGATTGAAATAGCTGCTGGACTTATTGATGCCATTACACAATTGGATAACTTCTAATCCATTTCATAAGGAGAAAAATTCAACTGGACTGGAAATAAACTTTATGAAAAGCATCGACCCAAGTATCATGCTGTACCTGAAATTAATTGTTATTCATAACTATAATCAAATATCGTCGTAGATAATGGAATATGTTTTCAATTGACGACTGCGCAATTTTCAATGTTGGTTTTTATTTTGTCGAAAATTAGACATGATATTCAGTGAGAAATTACTATAAATTCCGTATTAATAAAAATTGGAATACATTTTTGTAAATCGTAGGTAGAATATGAAGTTTTGACTGAAAATTGTAGTGCACGCTTTCAAAGCGAAATTAGGGGTTGAAAACTGTTTATAAATTAATTAATAAATGACAAGTTATTCAATTATGATCATTGAATAATGTTCAAAAGGAGAATTTCAATCTGCAAGTCACTACAAAATTTAACTGTTCAACTCTACGTTCTAAGCCCACGCCAACACGAAGCTATTCATCAGCCACTGCGGTGTCAACGGTGTTCAAGAGGCCGTCTATTACGGAGTGCCGATGATATGCATTCCTGTGCACGGTGACCATCATAAAATGGCTGAAAAGGTTCATCACAGAGGCCTGGGAATACGACTGGAATGGAAGAAAATTTCAGAAGAGATCCTAAATCAATCAATCCATGAAATAATAACAAATACCAGGTATGTACATATTATTCCTGATTTCAATCTGCAAAATATATTGAATAAAGGAAAAGTTTTCAAATCAGCACATATTTTATGAATGAAATTTTAAATTTGGAATGTGTCTGTTGGAGGAATGTGTGTGGAATGTGTTATCAGTGTGCAAATGAATGACTTCTTGTACGATAAATTTCGTTTAGTTTTTTAGACATTCATCATAAATGCTTGAAATTTTAATCAATATTATGAATTTGTTCTCATACATTTTTTTCTGAATGCAAAATAATGTTTTGCGCCGTCAAATCTATCAGATGAATTTGTAATCTCTCTATTATTTTAGTATCTTACTTTTCACGAACGCCGCTGGTGACCATATTTTTAAGCTGATGTGTACAATTTCAATATTTAATTTACTTGAACAATGTCAAGTCTTACATATACATGGCTAACATGAACAATTTTATCCCCCGCAGCTACCGAGACAAAGTTCATGAAGTTTCATTGGTGTGGAGAGACCAAATGGAAAGTCCCCTGCAAAGAGCCGTATACTGGGTGGAATACGTTGCTAGGTTCAGAGGTGCACCGCATCTCAGATCTCCAGCCATGGATTTGAGTTTGATACAGATATTCTATTTGGATTTGCTACTTGTAATTAATTTGTTTATATACGTGACGTATAGAATTGTATTCCAACGACCAAATTTCCATTTCAGCTCGATGCATCGAAATTTGAAGAGATTCTTCGGTTTCAGCCAAGAAGCAGCTCGGTTAAAAAGAGAGTAGTGTTTCACATAGCATTACTGTAGATGCGTTCATTATTGAACGTGTTTAGCTTGAACTAGGATATGAAAGCTTGAAATCTGATTATTTTGACTGAAATAAAACTGATTTGTCCATTAGAAAAAGGCTAGTTGGACGCTATAAAAAACATTATTTAATATTAGTGTCAATTGTTGAACGGATAGTTGGGCCCTATACAAAAATTATAAATAATGTGTTCAGCATTGAAGATAGAGCCAGGAAAGTTGGCCTGTTGCCGATTCCTGACTTCGAAGGATATTTACAGGTAGCTGCGGGTTCTGGACCCGAAAGTACGAGGTTATTTACGGAAACTCCCTGATTTGAAAACTCGCTACAAAGAACTAGTAAAGATATCATTGCAGTATGAATTTTATTGAAAAATACATTACCTGAATTTTTGTATCAGTTTTAAAGATGACATAACATAACATAGTGATGTCGGCGCTGTAGAGTAGGCCTGATGTGGCCTGTCGCCGATTCTTGTATTTTTCGTGATTTGTTCACAGAAGATCTAAAATCGTGTAAATTTTAACCGGATCTCTCATTCATTTCAATCGTGTCATTTGACATCGGACAAATAACGGCACCCATTGTCAATTAGAATATAACAATTGTCATTGTGATATTAGATAAAGGGTAGTTGGAAGCATATTGGAAATGTTGGCGATGGCTTTTAGTATGTGGTTCATCAAATGAAGTAGTGTCTTTGAACCGTCTTTCTAAACAATTGATTTAAGGCAAACCCATAATAAAATCACATTGAGCCAAGGAACTCGACCTAAAGGACGAATACGGTATCGAGTACGGAATGCTCGTTGATTCTAGTGATAAAGGAACGACCATTAGAAGAGTACACCACGACAGCAAACGCCCGCTGCTCACTTGTCCAATACAATGTGGCAACTGACTAGGCGGGACACAAAACTCCATGACTTTGCCTTTCTAGTGAAATACTTTTCGCCCTTTTCCTACAACATCTTGCTGCTTGGCATGGAACACAAAACAGGAAGTTTCCGTGAATAAACCTGTACGAGCTCTCATTTAGGTGACCTTAGAGACTCCTTAATCCCGATTTGCTACGGGCAAGGAAAATTCGCCAATTGCAATTACTTTCAATGAACTGTGTGTGCCTTATTTATAGTTATATGTACCAGGTACTTATTCAATTTTAACGTTCCTAAATAAATATTATCATCGATTCTGGTGTTACATTTAATCATTGTTTGGGTTTTATGTTAAGTACCTAAGTCCGGAAATTGCGATTGTCTACTTTCCTGCTGAAAAACGTGTTTTTACGCCATTGGCTAAAATATTCTGATACATCTAGAACTTGATTGGAAATTTGCAATGCAATTGGCCTTGATTGGGAATCTATGATAGTGTATCATTTGAGGTAGAGAATGCATTTTAATGTGCAAAAAGGAATTTGACAGTGGTGATTCAAGATCAATTTTGCCTGGACCAGCTGCAAAGACTAGAGATTCTAGCTCTAATACACTGTCAAATTCCGATTACTCCCGAGCGTGGAAGGTATCAAGTCCCACGACACGTGAGGCGCGAACGGTACCGCAGAAGCTGTACCAGAACGCGGACAAATAAACTCGAGTGCAGAGCTTATTAGCCCCCACAACACGAAAGGTGCTCGGCACGGGAACTAGCCGTACCAGAGCGCTACCAGCAACTGGAACTAGCCTAGAACTCCACTTACGCCGTAATTAGTCCGCTAGTGGAGTACTTTACGAGATATATTCAGAACTACGATGGAGTTTTTTCTTGGAAGCTCAGATCGGGCTCCCTGAATTAGAGTCGAAACGCCGGCACCCTCACCCAGTATCACTGAGCACACACAATTTGCCCGCGAGGGGAACTCGGCTAAAATAACCTTGCCACAATACCTCGTTCACAGCCCAACAAAACGGACTAGCTTCACAATTCATGTACAAAATATGATAATATAATACAATACAATAAACAAATCATAATTTTAATCCTTTGGCAAAGTAATCACGAGTTAGTAGTCGAATAATCTTTAACTAATTCTAACGAGAGCGAGCTCTCCATCGTCCAAGACTGCCTATGGGTATAAACGTGCACCATCGCGAGGCTATGAGAAACTTTACCAATCACGTTGGAGCTACAACATTCAGTCTCGTCCCAAGACGCTAATAACTAAATCCTATGAATTAACAAAATAATATCCCATATTTTAGGTATGAATTAATGTATTCAATTTTCTAGATATAATATTCTAGGTCTATAAAAACATAAATGTATTCAATCAATATCTAGTCACTAATCTAAACAAAAGAACATCATCAAAATAACACGTAGTCAAAACGGAACTCCTTAAAATAAAAAATATCACATAATATGCATCCCGTTACACTTGTTTCCATCATTTAGGCAGTCTCAGTAAGAAAGTATATCACTTTGTTGAAATTAGTATTTCTGTTTAGACGATATTGATGGCAATACCGAATTGTAGTTTGTCGCGTTACTTACCAGACTTAAGCACCATCCGTCCACAATATTAGACTTATCAACAGTCTTGCATGTCATGACAAGTTTGACATGACGAAAAGTTTGAACGCTTGGACGGGCATCCGTCTAATCAGACAGATTTCTTCTTCTTTGTCTGTATTGTTGTTTAGAGCTCTGACACTGTTTATTGTAAGCTCTAGTTTTGCACGAGAAAATGACACTGCAAGATGACGTTGACCTCAATATTTCTTTTGTGAGTTGACAGTTGCATAACGAAGTTTTCCTTGCCCGTAGCAAATTAAATTGAAAGGTCATAGAGATAAACGCCAAAAGCACTGACCCAGTAGTTCAGCTCTCTCCTGCCACTACCCTGCATGCTTAAGTCTAGCCTGCACGTTAGTTACCTGCATGCTTAAGTCTAGCCTGCACGTTGGCTACCCTGAATGCCGAAGTCTATCTAGCCCGCACGTTAGCTACCTTGTATGCTGAAACCACGCCGGCAGGTTAGCTACCCTGAATGCTGAAGTCTAGCCTGTACGTTAACTACCCTGAATGCTGAAGTCTAGCCTGTACGTTTACTTGTACGTTAACTACCCTCCATGCTGAAATCTAGCCGGCACGTTAACTACCCTGAATGCTGAATATGAAGTTAACGTTAACTACCCTGAATGCCGGCACGTTAACTACCGTGAATGCTGAAGTCTAGCCTGTACGTTAGCTACCCTCCATGCTGAAGTCTAGCCTGTACGTTAGCTACCCTGCATGCTTGCCGTAGAGAGCATTTCAATCTTGGTTATAGAAATGTATTGCTTTTTCAGTAAACTATTTTCAACATGAGTTTATTCTACTGCAATCCTTTGACATGAAAATTGCCAAAGATAGCCAAGCCAGAGAAGCAGCAGATCTGGGGCCGTATTATCAAAACTTCGTAACTTTTTGTACTTCCGACAAAAAAGTTACGTGTTACGTAAGTACACCCTAATTTTGGCATTATCAAAACATTCGTACGTATGACTTGGCTAAAAGCGTACTATCAAAACCACCTGGCCAACTGACCAATCAGAGGCTTTGGATTTGTTTACATTCTGTGAACTTCGATGGCGGGAATCGATGCCTTCGATGGTATCGACTATCGAATGCTGTCTGTCGGTAATGAGTGGGTATTACTCCTTGTTGGCCCAGGAAAAGCCTTTCTAAAATAGTTGTGAACTTTTTTTAATAAACAGCGTGAGTTGAAGTAGAAATCTGTGTGAGGAGCTAAAAATTATGGTTGGCAGAGATATAAAGTACCGACTAGATCACTAGAAGGAATGAATGATGAGAGTTGGGCTTGTATAACGTTATTTTACGCTTGTAAAATATAACGTAATATGCATTTGCTTGTAAAATATAACGTAATATGCATTTGCTTGTAAAATATAACGTAATATGCATTTGCTTGTAAAATATAACGTAAAAGGAAAACAAAATCAGTTTCTGGCATTAACTTAATTGAATTTTTTCCAATAGCACTGTTTAGCACGATCACATATTTTCATCGTGCAAATGTTGCACGATCAAGTAGTGGAGATATCACAAGTAGAGCCATCATTCTATGCGTGTATAATCCGCGCTGTCACATTATTGATAAAATTCTATCACAAGTCAAGGTGTTGCTACTTGCTAGTAAATCAATAGTTTCCTATCGCTTCAGCAGACGCTCTAAACTTGTGGGGAACTTCACTTACGACATCTCCGAGCAGGCGTACAGTTACGTTACGTATCTTCCCGCGCAAATGTTTTGATAGTACCACCTCTAGAGTTACGTCATCAAGTCAGCACTTACGCCACTCGTAAGTCGATTTTGCGTACTTACGAAGTTTTGATAATGCGGCCCCTGGTCATGACTGGCAGGAGCAGTTGAGGTGAAATGAGATTGAATTTGACAACACAGCCAACCGAAAATATTATACATGAATATTGCCAGTGCTTGTGCAGCGAATGATTGTTCCAAATATTAGTTATTTATAATTGATCAATAAATATTTATTCAGCAGTGTAACATCAGTAGTCCGGGTCCGCTTTCAAAAATTTAACACGAAAGTCAAAAATATTATTAATACTATTATTTAAATATTTGTATACGTAAATCTTTATGACATTTGTATTATTTGGTATCCACGGTCATTTTAGGAACCGCCGTTAAAACCGGGGGAAACTCACTTCTCCTAACTCGGTGTCATTAAGTGGATGCGTATATTTTGTATTCTTTATACCCGTATTTTCTCGATACAACACTTGAGCACGTACGTGTACGTGCTCACACAGAAGGTCACATCTCGTATTGTGACCTTCTGTGTGTTGCCAACCGTTCCCGGTATTCCTGCTAGACAAAGCGACGTTTATGCTTTCATACGTTATATGACTTTTTGTGTAATGTAAACTGTTCCCGTTATATACGTGATACGAATTTTTCTGTACTGTAAACTGTTCCCGTTATATACGTGATACGAATTTTTCTGTACTGTAAACTTTTGTGTACTGTGAACTGTTCCCGTTATATACGTGATACGAATTTTTGTGTTCTGTGAACTGTTCCCGTTATATACGTGATACGAATTTTCGTTTAATGTGAACTTTTCCAGTTATTCCTTGCAGACGGTGGCATTCATGTTATCTTAAGTGGCGGTGACCATCCAGTTCCGTGACCCTAGGAAGGAAAGTGACAAGACGGCTCTTCATCGCTTACTGCTATATCGCCTCAATCGTTCGTTTTCATTGCTTTGAAGTCTAATGATGATACATGATTCATATCCAATACGTTATAAAAATGATTTGCTTAGAGCCAAACACCAGTATTTGGAGGA